CCCCAGGCTGTACTTTTAAGTCTTTTTTTTTTGTATTTATTTTGCTTTTTATTATTTGTAAATAAAACTCCTCGAAGTCTCCTCCTGCCCATGCAGTGCAGCTCCTTCCCCCACCCCGGCTGGGGACGCGTGGCCCCGCTGCCCCAAGAGCCCCATGGTTACAGGCTGAGCTCCACCCCCATCCCGGGGTCAGCACCTGGAAGGGCTGCGTGGGGCTGATAAGGACCACATTGTCTGCTTTCCTGTTTTGTCAGCACAGTGACCTCAGCCACGGGCCGGAGGGGCTGTGGGCAGGCGCAGACTTACGGCCAGCACGCCGTCCCTGTGCTGGGAATAGCGGGCGTGAGGCTCTGGGGGAGGGTTTGAGGTTTGAGGAGGGCAGCAGCAGCTTTAGGGGGGAGGTGGGGGCCACCTCCAGGCTGGTACCCTTGTGCCGTGCCATTGCTGTGCTCAGCTCTGTACCCACAGGATCACAGGGGGTGGAAGGGAGCCCTGCAGCTCAGCTCCTCCGTCCCCCTGCTGAGGCAGGTTCACCTCCATCACTATGAACAGCTTCGGCCCTTTAAAACTATTTTTAAAACAATTTTTAAGTGATCATTTGCAGCGTGGAAACGTCACGGTCTGGGATCTTTAGCACAGCTTGCACAACTGATCTGGAAATCAAACCTTTCTTTTTCGTCTTTCGAAGCGCCGTTTCAGCCCCGCTCCCAGCCGTCGGGTTCCCGTTCATTTCTGCACGTCCACCCCGTGCCCACATCCCTCCCTGCGCCCACACCCAGCTGATATCCACACCTCCACTCTCACCTTTCCCCCTGCCCAGCTCAGGGGGGCGCTGGGATGCTGCACCCCTCCTGCTCAGCACCCAAACTTAGCACCCATGCAGCTGCACCTCGCCCTGAGCTCTCGGGGATCACAGCAGGCCCTCAGCGTCGCTTTGGCTCCTCGGCTGAACGCTTTCCATCCGCATTTTCTCTCTTTCACTGTTTTCCTTTTCTTCCTCGCGTCTCCGAGCGCTGGCTGGGCCCCAACACGGAGTGCGGCGCCACCTGGTGGCTGCAGCCCGCCCTGCATCCAACGCCTGCAGCGCCGTACGTAAACACAACAGAGCTCCATGTAAACATCGGCCCGATGCACACAGCGATATTTACACATATATGCGGATACATCGATGTGCGGGGACGGGAGGGGCGCACGCTCACACACACACACCCTGCTGTGCGCCTGCTGCCAGCTGGCCCGAGCCGCAGCCTTGTCTGAAAAGGCACAAAAGTCAGCTCCAAAAATAGAGCAGGAACAGCTTTACTCACCAGAATACAACTCCAAATATTTTGGGAATGGTTACTGGCGCTCAGAAAGTCCCACCTGGGGCCGAAGTTGAGAAAAATAAGCTTTGTTATTTCTCCTAAAAGCACCAGATAATGTTTTAACCCTTTCATACAAAATCCTCTGTCCCCACAAAAAGAAACGCAGCCGTCACAAAACGTTCAGTGCACAATTAAAGGCCAATTAAAAGAATAACTACACAAACATCATTTTGGAGGCACAGGGAAGAAAAAAAACCCAAACCTTTTCAGTGACGATTTGCACTTTTGTGGCCGTATCTCAGATTTACGACAGCATTTCTTCCCTGAGCCGTGCAGCCATCGCCCCACAGACCAGCCAGGAAATGGTGCCAGAGGTCTTTTATTAGAGCTACAAAAATTAGCTGTAAACCGTTTCCAAGCTTGGCTTCCACAGGCAGAAAGAAATCAGTACAGACATTGGCAATGGGGGACCCAATCCTGCCTGCCAACAGCACGAGGCGGCCCCGGGTTTTGCTATGATTCTGAGGCTGGCAGAAGATCCAGGCGCTCCCAGAGGCACGGCACAGAATCTCAGCATGGCACAGACACCCCCAGTTTGGTTGTCACACGCTGTGGCGCAGCCCCGCAGCACAGAGGCACCCGCCGCCATCCAGCAGGGAGGAGGAATGGGAGCAGGGAGCTGCCAGCAGGGCGCGGGGCCCTGTGCTCCTTCCTGCAGCACGGGGGGCACAGCGAGGGGCAGGACGGCCACCACCCGCCTTGGCCTCGGGCCTCACAACATGCGTGTCATGACCATGGTGAGGAAGTCCTCGTAGCCCAGCCGCACGCTGCCCGCCATCCCCGTGTCCTTCTCACGGAAGGCCTCCGTCAGGCTCTGCAGCTGCATGCAGATGTGAATGAAGCGGTCGAGCTGGATGGTGGGGTTGGAGGACCTCTGGGCGTAACGGGACAGCAGCAGCTGGCTGAACTGGGGGCTCAGGTTGTAGCCCATCTGGGAGAACGCTGGGAGTGAGAAACGCACAGATTAAACCCCTCCGAGAAGGGAAACAGCGCCCTCCCAAAGCGTGTTCCTGAAGGGCTTCTGAGTGCAGGCAGGGTCCTCAAGAGAGAGGAACCAAATCCAGGCAGGAATTCCAGACATTCTTCCCCTCCATCTGAGCACACACCCAAGAGCTCCTCCCAGAACGCAGGGCTTAGTCATGTGCCATCAGGAAGGGCAACAAAGAAGGGATTTCCCTAAGGAAGTTCACACTGTGGCCGGTTCAGCCTGATGCAGGGGACACCTGGAAGCTCAGAGAGAACCAACAGCAGGAATGGGGCTGGGCAGGGAAGGGAGGTCAGTGGACTGGCTATTAGGAAGAGAATCTCCTCTGAAAGAGTGATCAAGCATTGGCAAAGGCTGCCAGGAAGCGGTGGAGTCACCCTCCATAGGTGTGTTGACAAAACGTGGACATGTGGCACTCAGGGATGTGGTTTAGTGGTGTGGTGATGGGCTGGCAGCTGAACCAGATGACCTCAGAGACCTTTTCCAACCTTAACGATTCTATGCTGGGGTACAAATTAGCACCAAGCAGGCAGTGCTCCCTGGGGAACTCAGTGTGGTGCCTCAGCCCCTCACCCACCTTGCTGGAGCTCACTGAAGCTGATGGAGCCCGACTGGTCCCTGTCGTACTGCTGGAAGAGGTTCTTCCACTGCTGGATGAAGCGCAGCAGGGCTGAGAAGCCGTACACATCCATGCGTCCCGACCTGCTCCTATCAAACATGTCTGGCAGGAAGGCAGAGAAGCACACACGGGGCAGTGAGGAGAAAGCACCGACGTTCCGGGGGAGCCCAGGACCGCGCTTTGGCTCCAGCGCTCCCCCCGGTGCGCCCACATGGAACGGCCCGGGGGGGGGGGGGAGGGGAGCGGCCCCCACTCACTGATCATCAGCAGGCAGGTCTCGTCGTTGAACGCCGACCAGTTGGAGTTGAGCAGCGCCTGTTTCAGCTCCTTCACCGAGATGTAACCGCTGCGGTCAGCGTCCACCGCCTGGAACCAGGCGAAGGCCTCGGGATCCACGCCCTGCGGAGCGCCGCCTGCGGAAAAACGGCACCGGCGGCTCCGGCTCCGGCCCAGCGCGCGGCCTCCTCCCCCTCAGCACCGCTCCCCGCTCACCTCCAGGAGCGGCTCCTCCGTAGGGTCCCGCCGGGGGCGCTCCGTAGGGCTGCCCGGGGGCTGCGCCGCCGCCATAGGGGCCTCCGGAGTAGGGCCCGGCCTGACCCGCGCCGGGGTAGCCCTGCGGATGGGAGCAGAGCTCGGTCGGGGGGGGCAGCGCCGGGCCAACCGGCCTCGATCCTCCCCAGCCGGGCCTCGGAGCCCCGCGCAGCGCCGCACCGCACCTGCCCCGGAAACCCCGCCATGACTCCGCTTCCGGCACCGCTTCCGCCCCCGCTCGCTCCTCTTCCGTTCGTCTCGGGCGTCTCCCACTCCTATTGGTCGAGCCCCGCGGATGAGCCCGGAGGTCCCGCCCCCCTAGGTGATGTGGATCACGTGACGGAGAGGCTTAAAGCGGCGATGTTGGGTGGGGGAGAGTGGGGCTCACAGGGTTGGGAGCCCGCGGGAGCACGGACGGAAACCTCCGGGGAGCTTCCAGGGCCCCCAGTAGTGCAGGATTCCCCCCGCATCAGGCCCAGAACCACCATCAACATTATATCCCTGTCACCATTGCCGTCATCACCCCCACCACAGCCATCACCATCACCACCATCATTGCCATCAGCCACATCATCATCATCACTGGAGTTGGACTTAACGGGTTGTTATGGGACCAATTGGTTCTTATGGTGGTTCTTATGGGACCAATGGCGGATATTCTGTGATCTCTATCGTCAATATCACATCGTCATCATCGCCATCATCACCATCGTCATCATCACTACCATCACCATCATCAAAGGCAGGAGCAGGGCGCTGGCCTCAGCTCCATGCACAGGGCTGGGGACAGGGACAGGGATGGGGACAGGATGATCAGACGAGACACCACACAAGAGGAGTGCAGGTGTGGGGCAGCAGCACGGCTGTATTTCGGCTGGGCAGGATCCACCTGCCCTACAACAACCACCCACCCGCGGAGCCGGACAGCACCCAAAGCCCCGGGACCGGCGCAGCCCCCTGGAAAACGGGGGCAAGAATAAGAGCAGCAGTGGGGAGCAGTGGGGCCGGCTCAGCCGAAGGGACCCTTGGCATTCTTGGGCTGGAAGAGTGGCTGCTCCATGGGCAGAGCGCCCATGCACTCAGCAGGGCTGCAGTGCCCCGTTTTGCCCGGTGGCCCCGTGGCACCTGGGGGACCGGGGATGCCGGGGATGCCCTGCTGCCCCACGGGGCCTGGAGGGCCCATCTTCCCATAGCCTGGTGGCCCTTGGGGACCTGGAAGGCAAAGAGAGCGATGGAGGAAGGTGGCACCGAGCTGACGGCATCATCAGGAACATGGAGAGGGAAGGGGAAGTCACCTGGGGGTCCTGGTGGGCCACTGTCCCCCATCAGCCCCATGCCCTTCTCCCCTTTCTCTCCTTTGGCACCCGGCTCCCCTGGAGGAGAGATGTGAACGGTCAGACCCCCATCACAGCAGACACCCCAGCGCTTGGAGACACGGGGGGCAGCACCTACCCCGCATGCCTGGCACACCCTGCCGCCCCTCTCTGCCAATCTGCCCTGGCATCCCTGGGGATCCTGGGGGTCCCGGCCGGCCAGGCAGCCCATCCTTGCCCGGGGGACCTGGTCTGCCTGGGGCTGCCACCATCTCCACCGGGAAGTGCATCCGTGAGGTGTAGTATGCCATGCGCTCTGTGGGGACAGGCGGCTCAGCGGGGGCTGGGGGGACTGGAGGAGCACCAGCCCTTGCCCCTATCACCCCCGTTACCATCAAACATCTTGCTTATCTCCTGCTGGATGAACCTTTTGATCTCATCGTAATTCACCACATCACCCTGGAGGAGATATGGAAAAGACACGGCTGCTGAGCCCCGGCTCTGAGCCTCGGAGTCGGAGCTCCTGCCCCCGGCTGCCCCCTGCTTACCATCATCCCAGGGGGTCCTGGCAGCCCGGGGCTGCCCGCAGGTCCTGGTGAGCCGGGGGGACCCCTCTCTCCTGCAGGACCCCGCAGCCCTATGGGGCCCATGGAGCCACTCTTTCCTGGCCCCCCAGGTGATCCAGCACGGCCCTTCTCCCCAGGGTACCCTCGCATTCCAGGGGACCCGGCTTCACCCTGTGGGGACACAGAGAAGCAGAGCTCTCACCGTGGCACCCCCGATGTGGTGTAGGGCTGGGGACGCCATGGGGAAGCTGTGGCAGACCTCACCTTCTGGCCAGCGGGTCCTGCAGTGCCAGGCTTTCCTGGGGGGCCCTGGGGAGACAGAGAGGTGTGGGGCGGTGGGGCTGTCCCAGGGGCACCCCAGCACTCACTGCCCCTCCTGTACCTCTTTACCAACGGGTCCATCCGGCCCCTGCTCCCCCTGTGGGATGAAAGTGAGGTGATGTGAGGTGTGCTTGGCGCAGTGCTCGCAGTCCCCTGTGCCCGCCCGCTGCTCTCACCGGTGGCCCTGGGTGTCCTGGTGGCCCTGGCTGTCCTGGCATTCCTGGCAGACCTCGGTCCCCCGCTGAGCCACGCTCACCCTTCATCCCCTGTGGTGTGGATGCAGTGTGAGATGGGGATGGCCACCACTTTTTGTCCCCATCTCTGTCTCCATCCTGCTGCCGCTTGGGGGACCACAGGGCAGCCCCACAGGTACTCACCACTCCAGCGAGACCAGCGGGACCCGGCTGCCCCGGGCTGCCAGGGGGGCCCTGAGGACAAAGAGAGGGGTTTCAGCAGGAGACAGAGCGCCTCGGTTTGGGGACACAGCCCTATAGCACTCCCTACACCGTCCCGGTGCACATCAAGGGAACAGAGCCACTTACAATGAGTCCCGGGGGTCCCTGCCGGCCTTGGGGTCCCATGGGGCCGGGGTCACCCTGCAGGAGGCAGTAGGATGAAGGGAGGGCGCAGGTCCCATCACTCAGCACAGGGCTCCTTTGCCCCCTCCCCACTTTCTCACCTCCGCCCCGGGACGACCCGTGCTCCCGGGAGGACCAGGTTTGCCGCAGTCACCCTGCAAGGACAAAGGGATGGGATGGGCAACACAGTGCATGGAGACCCTCCCATGGGGCTGTCAGCACCGCAGGATGACCACTGCTCTGGGGACAACGAGGGACCCCCAGCCACTGACCTTTGGTCCAGGCAGCCCCGGGTGCCCCGGTTTTCCTTTGAAGCCCTGGAGGGAGAGGACAGGTAGGTTGGGGTCAGGACTTGCACCTGCCACAGTAGTGACATTGGTGCAGCATGTGGGACAGTGCGAGCACCAGGAAAGCCATCGCTCACCGGAGGACCCATCATTCCTGGTGGCCCAGGGGGGCCGGGGTCACCCTATGGAGAAAGAAAGAGACAGACATGGGCTGGGGACATCCAGGGGCTATGGGGTGGTGCTGCCCTCAGAGCCTGGCACACCCCAACGCCTCACCCGCAGCCCCGGCTTGCCATCCTTGCCATCCAGTCCTTCCAAGCCAGCAGGGCCCTGCAGGGACAAGGAAGGGATTTGGGGGTGACGAGCCCAGAACGGCTCCTCAGGGACCAGCACAGGAACAGGAGCAACTGTGATAGGCAGGGGGAGCCCTTACCTGAATGCCTGGAGGTCCAGGGGGTCCAGGGGGCCCTGGCATCCCTGTGGGCCCCCTCACGCCCTCGCTGCCCTGTGAGAACAACACCAGGGTCAGGGTGTCCCCTGGTGCCACCACCCGCTCCTGTCCCCATGGCACTCACCTTCTCTGCCGCAGGTCCCGGTGGCCCAGCAGGGCCAACCTTCCCTGGGAAGCCGGGGGGACCCTGAAGAGGAGAGCAATATTCCCCAGGGATGAATGAGATCCCCCATCCCCTCTCGTGCATCCCTTCATCCCCAAATTCACTGCAGTGGGTTTGCTACAGGGATGCTCTCTTTGCATTGTCCCACTGCATGTGCCCAGGGAGAAGATATCGACTCCTGCCCTACAGGATGTACTCACAGGTGGCCCTGGGAAGCCAGGCTGGCCCTGGAAACCCTGTGGAGAGACAGAGCTGAGCTGGGTCCTGCCCAATGGCCATGGATCCTCTTCCCAAAGGGAACGAGGCTGGCAGGAAGGGGCTGTAGGGATGGGTTCGGCCACCTGGGGATCTCACCTGATCGCCCTTCTCACCAGCACCGCCTGGGAGCCCGCGCTCACCCCTCGGTCCCTGCAGACAGCAAGCGTGAGCCCCTTGGGGTCCCTGGGACCACCGCCCCCTCCCCACAGCCCCGCACCTACCGCTGGCCCCATGGCACCGGGGAGACCATCCAAGCCTGGGGGGCCCTGGGGAAGGGAGAGCAGGGCTCAAATAGAAGCAGCGACAATGCCGCAGTGAGGGGGCATCCGGATGAGCCCCCAACCCCTCTGCCCCACACAGCTGGGCACAGCGCTGCACTCACCAGTTCCCCTTTCTCCCCCGGTGGGCCCATGTAGCCTCGTTCACCTTTGATGCCCTGAAGAAGGAAGGAGATGGAGCGGGAACACAGGGCATGGATGGGACACGGGGCACTGAGGGGACATGGAGAGGGGATGGGACACAGGATGTGGGTGGGTCATGAATGTGACACGGGGATGGATGGAGGGAAAGGATGTGGCACAGTAGGTGGGGGGGCACAGTGAGTAGAGGGAATCAATAGGGCACTGGGGACACTGGGACAAGGGACAGACGGGGCAGGGGTGAGCCCTGCAGGGATGTGGCACTCAGTGCCCACTCAGGTCCCCTGACCGCCCACCAGTCCCTGGCAGCATGGGGGCCCAAGCAAGCATGAGAGGGGGGCATGGGGACACAGGAGGTGGCAGGGGGCTGGTGCATGCTGCAGGGCTCCCCACATTACTCACAGGAAGGCCAGGAGGGCCTGTGGCACCAGGATAGCCAGGCTGTCCTGGGGGTCCCTGTGTAGGGGGAGGGTGGTGCTGAGCCAGCTGCACCCCAGGAAGGTGCGCAGGGACAGCGGTGTCCCCCAGCCCCTCCTGCCTTCCCCCCCATGGCACTCACCGGCTCCCCTTTGGCTCCAGCCAGCCCAGCAGGGCCTCGCTCCCCCTGGAGACCCTTTGGAGGGGGAGAAAAGAGGAGCTGCAGGGGGGCTGCACCCCCAAGAGCTGCGCTCTGCCCCCCAGCTCTGCTGTGCACATCCTGCGCACACACTGGGTGTAGGGGCACCACCACCTGTGCCACCCCCCAGTGCCAGGGCAGACCCTGGGGGTCTGCAGGGAGCCCAGCCAGGAAGGCACTGTGCAGGGGTGCCCACAGGCAGGACACCTTTTGGAGCACAGCTCCAGCCTGGTTAGGGCACTCAGTGCCGCCCATCCTCCTGCAGCACAT